CCTAGGGAACGATGCCCCTTTAAAATGCTGCTACAGAGGCCACTTTCCCACCACCCGTGGCTGTGAATGGCGAGCATGCACCGCCCAAGGGCACGGCCACCGGAGGACATCATTTCTTCCTCCAGGCGCGTGCTCCTTCGTGGCAATCCTTTGAAGTCATGGAGAGGAGGTCTCTCCGAAGGCTGCTGTGGCCGGCGTGGGGCTCACACTCAATGGCCCACCATCGCCTGACTCACCATGAAATGTGGAACGGCTCTGGGGAGGCCACATCTGGAGTCCTGTGTCCAGCTGTGGGCCCCTGCTACAGAAAAGATGGGGACACATTGGAGAGAGTCCAGTGGAGGGCAATGGAAATGGTTGTGGGCTGGGGGACAGGACTGGTGAGGAGAGGCTGAGGGACCTGGGCTGATTTAGTTTGCAGAAGAGAAGAGCGAGGGGGATTGAATAGCCGCCTTCACCTCCCTGCAGGGGGGCTGCAAAGAGGTTGGAGCTGGGCTGGTCTCAGTGGGGGCAGGTACAGGACAAGGAGCAATGGGCTCAGGCTGCAGCAAGGGAAGTTGAGGTTGGATATTAGGGAAAACTTTCTCACGAGGAGGGTAATAAAACACTGGAACAGGTCATCCAGAGGGTCTCCATCCTTGGAGGTGTTGAAGATCCGGGTAGACAAAGCCTTGGCTGGGATGATGCAGTTGGGGCTGGTCCTGCTTGGAGCAGGGGGCTGGACTCGATGTGACGTCCTGAGCTCCCTCCCACCCTCCTTGTCTGTGATTCTGTGACTCAAACATGGGGCTATTGGCGATGTCCCCACACAAGTGGGGAGGGCGAATGTGCAACTCATCCGTGTGCAGGCATCGGCCCCACGCAGGGACGAGGCGTGATTAGGGTACTGGGAGTGACAAGTGAAAACCGGGGGGGGATTTGAGCACCATCTTCAAATCCCTGCAGGGCGATGCAGAGAGGATGGAGACGGGCTTTTCTTGGTGGCTGCAGGAGACAGGGCTCAGAGCAATGGCCTCCAGCTGCAGCAGGGGAAACTGAGGCTGGAGATTAAGAGGGATTTTCTGGCTCTGAGGGTGGCCCAGCAATGGAGCAAGCACCTAGAGAGGTGGGGCACTCTCACCCCTGGACATTTGCCAGAGCGAGTTGAACAGACGCTTGGCTGCGATGGTTTAGTCAAGGACAATCTTGCTAGGAGCAGGGCCTGGAGCTGGCCCGGATACCCTTGTGAGGTCCCTATGATCCTGTGATATATAACTAGGAAAAGTTGTATATAAAGTGAAGCTAAGGGAAGGAAAATATAGGGTAGCTATCAAGGAGCAGGTCCTGACAACTGCAAGAGCCAATGCTTGAGTGGGCCAGGCAAAGCCCACAAGTCAGGAGGGAAGTCAGCCCGTGCTGTCCAGCAGCTTTCCATGTTTAGCGTCTTGGATCTGGTCATCTGCCATCCTTCAGTGCACCCGGGGCAGGTTTGCTGCCCTGATGCTCTCTAGGCGGACTGTAACGTCGTGCATCTGCCCAGCCGCTTCGCTAAATGGATGGGTCAGTCCCTTGTTTCCTGCGCTTTGGAGGGCAGCACTGAGAGCCGGGCGCTCGCTGCTGCGCCAGCACTGGGAATCCCGTTGGGTATCAACTCCTGGAGCTCGAGGACGACACCTGTTGTCTTCTGGGATGGGCATCAAAGACCTCCCTCTCTCTTCCAGTCCTGGCATTTAGACGCTCAGCTGGGAACGTCAACCCGGTGCTTTCAGCTCATCTTGCGGACACGGACCAAGGGTCTGACTGGGCAGAGGGGAGGCATCTCTGCTCCAAAAGATTTTGATGGTCTTCCTCACTGCTTTGCTCCCTTGCCAGCTTCGCCCAGCTTCCCACATACCCAATCTTGCGTGGTCTCCAGAGAGTCCTCCAGCTTTCACTGGTCTTTCTGGGAAGGAGGCTCAGTTAGGATCCAAACCAACGTCCACTGACATCAGTGGTCCCGTAGATGGTTTTGCTATTCTAGAGCGGGGGGCCTGGGGTTGGCCCCCTCCTGAATAAGCCACCACAGTCAGAGATTTCGTTAGCAATGGCTGAGTAACAATTGTGGAATCACAGAAACCCCCGAGAAGCCGGGCTGGAAGAGACCTGCCAAGGTCACATCTAGTCCAACCCTGCCTAAGACGGGATCAGCCCTGTGCAAACCAGCCCAGGCAAATCCATAGCCTAAACTCTGAGCAAAACTACTGTCAACCCTGACTCCACACGAGACATCACCCCTGCTCCTGCCCCAGAGGGGACCGTGGCAGCCACCACCTTGCTGCTGCAAAGGTTGTTAATAGATGCTCCAGAGACCCCAGGCCGAGGCCGTGCCCCTGCTGCAGGAGAAGGCAAATCCCCCAGTCTGGACCAGTCTGACCAGGGGAAAAAATCCCTTCCTGCCCCAGTGCAGCGTGGCCCTGAGCCTGAGCGGGGGGGCAAGACCCTCCAGCCAGGACCCTGCGGGGTGGGTGCAGCAGGAGCACTGGCACAGCCCAGCCCCAGCCCCAACACCTCTGGGGGAGGCTTAAATGCCCCTGACACATGGAGCAGAAACCTGGGAGACCCCCATGACTTGGGGCACGCAGCGTCGCTGATCCTGTAGACAGGGGCGGCTGTGTGAATGCAAACCCCCCACAGCTCCCTGGAGTGGGCAGAGCTGCTTCGTACTGCAGCAGCAGAACCGAATCTGGGCTTCTCCAAAGACCGGGTCACCCGCGGCCGGGGGGGCCACATCGCAGCGGGAGGACTTGCTCGTGCCACCATCATCTGCCTGAGCGAGGCTGCAAGTTTGACACGTCTGGAAACTCCCGAGGTGTCGGGAGATTGAAACCCCGGGAAGGCTGAGCACTGGGCTTTGCTCTCCCCCATCGCACGCATCCAGACCGGAAAGCGCTTTATCAAAGGGCAGCGCAGCCAGGCTCTCCCACCCCGGCCCCCTCCGCAGAGCGCCCGAGTGGCTGCGGCAGCAAGGAGGGGCGCTCCGGCTGCTTGTCTCTTTCCAGCAAGGACCTGCCAAAGGCTGCGGTTTGCCCATCGCTGCTTCTGGACGGCCTGCGCTTGTACACGACACCTCTCCTGGGCACGGGCGGCGCTTCCACGCGTACTGAACGGCTCTCACCGCGTCCTCGCAGCGTCGGTGTCTCACGCTCAAATTAAACCTGGATAGGAACCAGCTATAGAGTCCTTGCACATTTTCAAGCACCTGCTTTATAGATAGTTGGCTCTTTTCATAGCCGGACAGTCATTTTTATCGCGCGATAAGTACTTGGCATGTGCGGCCGGTCTAAGTTTATTGCGCGGTTGCCCAGTGAATTGCGTGATATATGTCAGGCGTGGCAGGGGTCTAAGGTGCCACTTTGCTCTGCCGTGTGCCTGATGGGGGTCTAACACGCCAACCTCCCCTCCTGCCTCACCAACGTCGTCGCTCGTCTCTGGTGCTCTCTCGCGCTCCCCAGCTCATGGATAACCTCGTTATCAGGTAAAGCACTCATCTACTCAGTGAAGTTTCTGGGCTTCACCATGACCAAGAAAAGCCTGGAGAGGTGAAGATGGATGGTTGGAAACCTAGACATCAATGGAAAAGGTCCCAGAAAGCGTCAGCTTTAAAGTCATGATTTTCACGGCGATCTCGGGACAGCAGGGAGAGAGCAGAGCTGACACGGGTCTATCTAATGAGCCATCCCAACAGTGAGCATAGGCCCAGAGCACAAAGCAACGAGTGCCTCTTACCAGGACCGCAACGGGTCCCTCTCCGCTGCTGGGCCTTCGGTCTCGGGACAGATGCCTCTCTGTTGGGGGCAGCCAGCGGGGATGGAGGGGCTCTCTGGAAAGGACCCCGTTATTATTGAGCCCTGCTGTCGTCGTGGATCAGGTGGGTGCCCAGGGTGCTGGGTGCTGCGCAGACAGGTAGGAAATCACAGGTCACGCTGCAAAGAGCAGTGAGTCAAGAACCTGCACAACTCACGTCTCGCCTGAGGCTCAGCTCTGCCCAAACCTGCCCAGACAAACCCACTGTCTAAACTCTCCATAAAACTACCCTCAATACATTCCCACCTCCGCCCTCCGAGCACCCCCAGCCCCAGCGGGCCAGCTGGATGCCACGCAGAGGGGTCGAGGGCAGAGTGCGGCTCTGTTCAGGGGCAAGTCTGCAACGAGAGGCTGCAGGACGCCAGGCTGCGCAGGGGGATCGGTCTGTCACCGAGCAGCAAAAGGCATCACGGGATGGAAATGGCATCGAACCGGGGAGAGGAGCAACGAGGCAGCAGAGCAACTCACCGAGGGACACGGGGGACTGAGGTTTGCAAAGCCTCAGGGTGGGCTGTAAGGACCTACCGAAGGAGCTGGCGTGACTGAGCAAAAGGACAACCGAACGGCAGGTGAAATGCAACGTAGAGAAGTGCAAAGCGATGCACTCGGGCAAAAATAATCCAGGCTGGACCTACCCTACGTCGGTTGGCTGTTGCCACGCAGGACGGAGCTGGGAGCCGTTACAGATGTAGGACATAGGACTGACCCCGCACATGGCAGCTCCTCTGTTCTCCCTATAACACGGGGTGAGACACCCCACCGCTTCCCCCGCGTCTGTCCCTGGCACAGGTGAGGCGCCATGTGTGGCTGTCCTGAGGGGGAAGAGGGCAGCGCTCGTGTGTCCTGGCCCACGGACCCGCACCACTGTGCAGTGCATGCCAAGGAACCTGCCAGGACCACGTCACCCCAGACAGGATGAGACACGAGGACACTGCTCCAGCCTCGTAGGGAAGAGGACACCTGGGAGCGAGCTGGGGTTACACCCCAACGGGCCCGGAGGCGGGAGAGCTGGGTTTAGCCCGAAGCCAGACAGGCAGCACGGCTCCGTGGGAGGTGAACTGAGCTCAGCAAAACTTCCCAAAAAATCACCTTCCAGTCGGTAGGGAAGGCATCGATGAGCCCAGGGGATGAGCACGGAGATCCGCAACTGACCCCTCCGCCGCGCCTCCTGGACTGACCTCAGGGCCGCAGCCCTGTACATCGCGGGCCTGCCAAAAACACCACTGCGGATGCCCCCATCTCAGCCCCGAAAGGTTGCAGAGCCGAACTCAGCCTTCAAAACAACCCGGATCGTCCAGCTCTGAGGCGCCGCCCTGGCCCAGACTTCTGCCACGGCGCCCAAGTGATTTAGGAGCCTGCACCCCAATGACCTTAGACCCCCTGCCTTGCTTTTGAAAAGGGAAATCAAATGAAACCAGGCTCAGGAGCCTCAATACCCTAAGTCCCTTCAGCATGTGGACAGTTTTGTAGGGTCCATCCCTCTGCCCCGCCCCGGCTGGACAGCGCCCCGTCACCAGGCTCACGCCCGGCACGTGCTCCACGGCCTCCGGAGGGGTCCCCCGTCCTGTCCGACCAAGCAGGTGGCCGTCTCCCTCCGCCCCAGGCGTGCCGCAGCTCGAGCCGGCCGGGGGGAGGCCTGCCAGGACCGCCAAACCCCAACCGTCCCTGGGGAGCAAAGGGAGGCTGCGAGGTCCTTTCTCCTGCTCCCCGGCCTCGTCCTAGCCGTGCCCCGGAGCAGAGGCCGAGACCGCGGGCTCCGTTCTCGTGGGGCCGCCAAGCCCCAGAACGGGGAAAGCCTCTTCTCACCAGACTTCCCCCGCGGCTTTGCTGGTCCAGCTCGTTCAAGGAGATGTCCGGAGGGTCTCCTGCCACGAGGCAGAGCAAGCCACCGCCGTCAACAGCGCAGACGCCCCGTGACGAGGTCCCACGGGCACAAGGACGCGGCGCGGCCCCTCGAAGCAGGAGCAGGGGCAGCGCCAGAGCATCCTGTGGGCAGAGAGAGACCACGCGGCAGGGATCGGCTTCGCTCGGGCCGGGGGCTGGGGTGGGGACCCCCGTTCTGCTCCTCCAGGCGGGAGCCAGCTGCTTTCCCCGGGCCACTGGGATGGGATTTTATAGCACAGGTTGGCCCCTGCCCTCCAGCCGCAGCAGCCCGAGGAATCAATCATTGCCACCCCCCGTCCCTGTTTGATGGTTAACAGCCTGAGCCGGGGCCAAACTGGTTGTTAATTGTGACAACAACTGATTTCAAGGGGCTGTTTCCAGAGACCGACACTCCGGCAATTTGCTTTGAGCGGCCACCAGCAGCCTGGGCTACTGATGAGGACCATAAAGGGAAGTTCACAAGCCATTAACAAAGGGCTCCCTGCCCAGCTGCTTCTCACGCCCAGCCCTCAGCCCACACCTGAATCCCAGCAGGGCCATCCCGGAGGGGACCACCCCCTCCATCCCAAAACCACGAGCACAATCCATGGTCTCCGTCCCCATCCCCTACCTGCAGGTCCCTTTCCACGAAGCCTCAGCCGCTGCGAGGCTCCGGCACTGAAGCTCTCGTGGCACCCGGCGCTGCCTGTTTGGCTCGTGTCCATCCGTCGCCTCGCGTGGAGATCATAACCTGTTTGGGGGAAGAAACTGTGTTTGTGCCGCAGCTACAACGGGCTCCAGGTCCGTGACCGGGGCTCCCGGGGTAAGAGACACAGTGACGGCGATGGAGCTAGATGGGCCCTTCGTGCAAGCACCGCGCTCCCGCTGGCCTGGCGCGGCCTGGGGCGATTTGTGGAGCGTGGCGGGCTCGCGTCATAGAAATCCCGGAGAAGTGGGGCTGGATGGGACCTGCAGAGAGGACATCTAGTGCAACCCCTGCTTGAGGCAGGACCAGCCCTGTGCAAACCACCCTGCACAAACCTGTCATTGAACCTCTTTGTAAAACGACCGTCAGCCCTGACAGCACCAGGCATCACCCCTGAACCTGCCACGGGGAAAGCCGGGGGGTCGTGGCCACCAACGTCCTGCTGCTGGAAAAGGCTGTTCATAGATGCTCCAGAGAGCCCAGGCCAGGCCATGCCTGTGCTGCAAAAGAAAGCAACCCCCCACCAGTGCAAACCAGTCTGAGCAGGGGGGAATCCCATCCTGCCCCAGTGCAGCGTGGGTGCAGGGGCACGACCTCCAGCCGAGCCCAGAGCAGAGGCCAGCCAGGCCAAGCCACGGCTCATGGAAATGCAACCACAGACTGGGCGCATCTGGTTTCCCCTCATTCGGTTTCTCCTGAGAAGCCACTAACTGATGCCCTGGAGCTGAGGACAGATGCTGGCGCGGGGGTCGCACCCCTGGCAGCCTGGGGTCACGGGGCTCTCGGCAGCATCAAGGCCACGGTCTGTGGGATCTGGGTTGCATCAGGACGGCTCACGAGGGTTTTGATCCCTCCTCTCCCATCAGAGAGGCTGAGCGAGGCGCATCCTTCACCCAGCGCCGAGAGTCCGCGCCGGCCGGCAGAGCCTCGCACTCGGCGCACGTCAGCGCCACAAGTCACGGACAGGGGCCAAGGGCCCGTTCCCGGGGCCGGGACGGGCCCCACTGCTGCCGGTGAACCCAGCACTCGAGAAGAGAGCGGCGGTGTCGGAAGAATCGATCCCTGACAAGCTGGGAAGGACACGGCCAACCCCAGCAGCCCCGAGACCAGCGTGGGATGAGCAGCGGGCACACGGCACGACATCCCGGTGCCACCAGTGACTGACCAGAAAACTGGCTGAACC